TGTATTACGAAACAAAATCAATATTTAAGTTGTCAATAATTAAAGAGTATTTGACTGTTTTCCATAAGCTGGATATTGTATAGTTTTTAGGTGAGAACTCTTAGCTTTAGTGGCAGATTTGTAACTCCGAAGCGACAATGTTACGTGTCATTGGTATGTAATATTTCACTCTAAACAGCTTCAGAACATTAAAGAGGAAGAATATATTTATAAAATATTAAGCGTATTTGGTTTTCGATTCAACAATGCCGCTGAGATTTTAAACCTCACTCGCTCAAATTTTTTCGAATGTTCTTATTTAAGCTTTAGAACATGGTTCAAATACAATTTAATGTGATCAATAAACACGTGCTCTGACCTAGAATTATGTCAGTAGTAAGAAATTAGAATCTCGCGCCATCGATGTGTGCTGCGTCTCCGAAACGCGCATACAAGATCCGAGTAGCGTCATTCATTTGACCTCACCATGCCAAAATAAAGAACCGACTCGATTTACGCTTCGTGTATCTGGAAGCCCTGATTCTGCTTCCCGTGGCCTCGCCGGCGTAGGTATAGCATTGAGTCCTAGGGCAGAACTAGCTCTCTTAGAGTGGATCCCAGTAAACAGTCGTTTGTGCGCTGTCCGACTGAACGGAACAGTAAGAATCCGGAAAGATAGGGACACTCGTCGTTGCCTCTTCGTCGTCTCTGCCTATTCTCCCACTGACTGCAGCTCAGATGATGTAAAAGATGAGTTTTACAGAAAGCTTTCGGACCTTCTCCGAAAAGCTAAGCGCTCGGATGTAGTAATAGTGGCCGGTGACTTTAATGCTCAAGTAGGTAAACTAAGCGATAAGGAAAGACACCTAGGTGGATCCTATGGTGTCGTGGCTCAAAGAACAGATAATGGCGACCGTCTGTTGCAGCTATGCTCAGATAACCGCCTGTTCCTTGCAAATACTAACTTTAAGCATAAGGAAAAACATCTTTTAACATGGCGACCCCCTAATTCGTCCCAACGTTGGACCCAAATAGATCACATCGCTATCAGCCACCGATGGAGGGGCTCGATAGAAGACTGTCGCTCATTCTGGAGCACATGCCTAGATTCAGATCATGCTCTAGTGCGAGCGCGTATTTGCTTGCGTCTTACTGGACGTAGGAAAGATCCTGCAAGGAAACCTCTTAGGGCCCTACTTAATGATAGTCAAGCTAAGAATATATTTCAGGAACAACTAGGAAAACAGTTAGGCAGCCATGTATGTGATGCCCACCCCGAGGCAGCATGGAACGATATCCGAAAAGCTGTGGAAACAGCAGTGATATCTGCTAGTAAGGTAAACCGTAAAATTAGGGAGCAACACTGGATCTCAGCAGCATCTAGCGCACTGATAGATGCTCGAAAACTCATTCCACCTGGCTCTGAACATAATGAAGAGCGGAGTCAGCTTAAGCGCAAGCTGACAAGAAGTCTACGCAATGATCGCGAACAGTGGTGGGTAGCGAAAGCAAGAGAGATGGAAAAGGCAGCGGCAATAGGTAATAGCAGACAATTGTTTAGACTCGTTAAGGAAACCGGAATTAGGAACCCGACCGTTAGCGAAACAATCTCAGAGAAAGATGGACATATTATTCATTCTCAATCCAGGAGATTGGATCGATGGGCAGAACACTTTAGGGATCAGTTCAACTGGCCTTCAGCCACACTTCGGTTTCCCACGATCTCCAGTCAACCTGCATGGCAAGTTAATGTAAGTCCTCCGTCCCTTTACGAAGTTGAAAAAGCCATAGGAAATCTGAAACGAGGGAGAGCAGCAGGCCCTGACAGGTTTACTCCTGAGATTTTTAAGGATGGTGGTCCAGTATTAGCAGTGAGATTGACTGAGGTCTTAGGTAGAATTTGGGAACTGGACGTAATCCCATCTGACTGGTCTCAATCACTGATTGTGCCAGTTTTTAAGAAAGGACAAAAGTCCTCCTGTGACAATCACAGAGGAATCAGTTTGACTAATATAGTGTCTAAAATATTAGCTTCAATAATACTTCGACGCCTAACTAAAGCTCGTGAAGAGCAGACTAGAGAAAACCAGGCTGGTTTTCGACCTGGACGTGGTTGTATAGATCAGATATTCACACTACGTCAGGTTCTAGAACAGAGACACACATTCAGACGCCCCACAATGGTAGTATTTCTCGACCTTAAGGCGGCATTCGACTCCGTTGATCGTGAGGTTCTATGGCAGTGTTTGTCACTGAAAGGAGTACCAAAGAAGTACATTAACCTTATAAAGGCTCTCTACTCGAACACAACTGGTCGAGTGAGAGCTTATGGCGAACTGTCATCAGAATTGATCACCTCAAGTGGTGTTCGTCAGGGCTGTCCACTCTCCCCATTCTTGTTCAACTTTGTCATTGACATACTTTTAGAGATAACACTCTCCTCATCTAAATTTACAGGGGTTGAACTTCTACCAGGAGGTTCACTTGTTGACTTAGAATATGCAGATGACATAGTTTTATTTGGTGAAGACGCTGACAAAATGCAGAGTCTTCTGACCACTCTAAGCAACAATGCAAGCATGTTCGGGATGCGATTCTCTCCCTCGAAATGCAAAATGTTGCTTCAGGATTGGGTTACATCGACACCCGAACTAGTGATAGGGAGTGAAGTAGTTGAGTGTGTCGACCGCTTCACTTATCTTGGAAGTCTCATCAGCCCTTGTGGTTTGGTGTGTGACGAAATCTCAGCACGGATACAGAAGGCTCGACTAGCTTTTGCCAACTTGCGTCATTTATGGCGTAGGCGAGATATCCGTCTATCAACCAAAGGACGTGTTTACTGCGCAGCAGTTCGTTCCGTCCTACTTTATGGCAGTGAAACATGGCCGATAAGAGTAGAGGATATCCGTAGGTTACTAGTATTCGATCATAGGTGTCTTCGAAACATTGCTCGTATATCATGGGACCATCGAGTAAGTAGCACAGTTGTTAGGAAACGGGTACTAGGTAAGGATGGCAAATCAATTGATGAAGTAGTGAAACTTCATCAGTTGAGGTGGCTGGGACACGTGTTACGTATGCCCAACGACCGACTGCCTCGACGTGCTATGTTCAGTGGTATAGGAGTAGGTTGGAAGAAAGCTAGGGGCGGCCAAACCAAAACATGGCACAAGTCCATGAAGTCACTGACAAGTGAACTGAGTCATGTTGGTAGGTGTAGACTACCTGGTTGGGGACCGCGAGATGACAGCAACCGATGGTTAGAGACCCTGAATGACATGGCTCAAAATCGTTTGCAATGGCGCAGGTGCATTCACTCTTTGTGTTCTCCCGAATTCTAATCTTCTGAATTCTTCATGTCCCTTTTTCCCTCTTTCCAAATTTCTTTCACTGGATTATACTCTTTAAATAACATCTCCAAACCCTAATCTTCCCGATTACTGCTTATACTCTTGCTACCTCTACCACTACGGGATTTGAATCGACCACTGCATCTCTGTGCTAATGTGGTGTGGCAACTCGAACTGATGTACGTACGTACGAAGTTCTACGTTGTTACTGACTGACTGACTGACTGTATGTGTTTTGTTATTACAATACACTGTTTATAAACTGAAATCTTAATAATCTACAACTAGTTACGCTGGTAAAGTTCCTTAAGAGATATAGGATAACCTTACAATATAACCAAATTTTATAATTAACAAACATTTAGGGTTATTTTGGTGAATAATACTCGTTTTTTAATGTTAAATTTTATATACAGTCCATGAGAGTTAAGTCTAAATAAGTTGTTGTAAACAAGAGGTTTATTTTCAAACACTTTGTTGTTTGATAATTTGGTACAAAACCATTAAAAACCGTATTGTCATTTGTATTTGTGGACACAAATATACATTGCTGACAGTCCAAAACTTGCTGATGTTTGGGAAATAATACTTTTTGAGCACCTGTCACACTAAGAATCGTGGTTCTCGAATAAAGTTATAAATCCCTTACTGAAATTTAGTGATGGTCATTGTTAAGAGGCCTTTTTACCAAATCATCTTTATAAAACACAAGTATGTGTTTGGTAGAAGAATGAGAGTTAAAGCCAACTAACCAAGACATGCTAGCACTTGTAGGTCACCTAATGTGCGTATATCAGATAACTAACTGAGTTACGACAGTTAGAATATGACTTGATAAATTCCTAGCTAACTCAATCAGTAAATTGCACTTTTCAAAGCTCATCTATCCACGAATTCAAATGGTGTACTTAAAATGTTTAAAAAATTGTGTCTAAATGTGTAAACAAAGAATCCTACCGCAGGAAAAGACGAAAATTGTCGACGGTAATTTAGTACGTAATGTTTGGTAAAAGGCTTGTAAAAGAAGTTGCCTGTAACGTTATACACTATGTCAATAAAATGCCGTATAGCCAGTTTTCACGTCTATGCGTCCTTTTTAGGACTAACGTGCATCCATTATGAAATCTCAAATGAAATATGAAAGTTTATTGGCAAATGAATCATCTTGAGGTTTAAAGATAGCATGACTTCCAAGAGTTATTAAGACAACCTTTATTATTCGTTAAATTATTAAAACCTATTGATGCACAACGTGTGAAATACATAGGAAATATTATAGAACCACGATTGAAGCAATGAAATTCTAGAAATCACACCTAAAAGCATGCTCTTCGAGTATGTCAATATAAAATAAGTTCTGTATCGGTTATTCACTTAACACATCTAAAGTGCTAACAAAGATGCTGAAATCAAAATTCCAAAATTTGTTGTGAGGGTCGATAAGCGTCAATACGATTCACAAAAAAGACATTGAATAACTTTAATCAGTATACTGTTTTCATATTCTATAGGTCTGACTATCATCAATCATTGTGTTTTTGGCAGTAACTGCTTACTGTTTGTCAAATTAAAAAGTGACAACACAGAAAGACAACAGATAGACTGAGTAGCCTAAAATAAAATTTATTGTATCAGGAATAAATATAAAGAAAGCCAGTTGAAGTAATTTACTTTTGGAATATTTCTTAGCCTTATTCTTTCCCGTCCATGCAATAAAACGTTCTGGTGTTTAAGAAATGCTTCTAAACTGAACTGTCCGCTAATTTTCTCAAATGAAAAATCTAATTACTAACTTACTGTGATCCGAAATATATTCGATAAGGATTCAGATACTTTTCAAATTTATATACGCATCCAACTTGATTCTGGGTTTGTATAGACCCTGGTCTATGGAAATAAAATGTTTTAATACTTCTAACCTTCGGAATCTAACATATTGTATTGCTTCTCCAGCGGAGATGCGGTTATTAAATACTAGATAACAGGCAATTATTACACCAGTTCTACCTGAAAAGTTATGCGGAAATGCATATAAACAAACCAAGTCCAGCATGACAGTGAATCGCGATTTTTCCTTCAGATATTGCAAACTGGATTACCGTCACTGTATCCAAAATGAACTGAAGTGATGCGACATCGTAGTCACACCTTAACAGGATATTCGTCAAAATAACTGATACATACCAGCTAAAATTGTAAAAAGCAACTGTATGTCTTATCTTTTTAGCTCAAAATACACTTACTATTGTTTTTCATAAAGCTTAATGGTTCATATGAAAATCCAGAACTGAGTACACCAAAGCCGCAACTACTGTGTTCCCCTGCTGTTTCCATGTTAAATATGGAGCGAATACCCATTCTTTCAAAAATTTGTGCTATTAATCACTATACCTTTTAAACTGATCAATTATATCAAATTCTTTAATTAATTTTTCACTTGGTCTAGATGTTGCCAGTATATTTTGTGTAATCCTAAACCTTATATGTAATAATACGAATACCAAGTAGAGTATAAGCCGTTTAAATGCATTTTGTTCACGTCGAAAAATGATGAAGGGTTGCAATATTTACATTTCGATCCGCCACAAAACAATAAACAAAGTTTCTTCTCTGGGATTCCTTGTCGCACGATATCAGAGACAGGAGAATTAAGGCTCTTCATACAAACGTCTTGGAAGTTCAATAATTACAAGATAACTACTTCTATATTTTAAGTTGCTATTGTACTTTCCATCCCAATTCAAGATCTCCGAAATGTACATCACCTAAGTATTTCAAAAGGTGACTTCACAATGACCTTGATGCACTTGATATGTGAGTATTTTAAACAAGAAAAAAAGAATCAAAAGCATCCAAAAGGCTACTGTAAGTTTTTCGCCGTTATAAATCAAAAGAGAAATTGACGCGTGTTCTGCATTTGTAAAACGTGAAATAATACGTCAAGTAACGTGTACTTTATTGTTAAACTAAATTGAGTATGGAGATTTGTAAGGACCGTGGTATTTTGACAGTTGAAATCATTAGTTGGTCTAAGTTAGACCACCAGTTAAAACCTGCAAGCATCGGATGGCCATTTCATTATAGCATGGGACTCAGATTTGCTCATCCCTCAAGGGCTATACAAAAACGTAGATTGATTAAAGGTAGACAATAATCCTGTTAGGTCCCAGCTCAGTGGTCTTCATTAAAAGCGTTCTCATATGAGGCCGAACGTTCTGTTTGAGTCCTGTGTTCAGGGTATTAAGCGAGTACTGCTGAGGAGTCACATACTGGGATTAATTACTCATTCTGTGCTCTCAGGTTTTTACTGTTAGTTTGCCGTAGATAGACTCATGATTTCAACCCTGAATATTATTCAAGTGTCTTTACATTACAATCACAGCTTCTATATTACTTCTTCATTTTGGTAACTCTATGTTTTGGTCATCGCGCATCAACTTGTCCTCGGTAAATGCTTCCTGGTTTCGTTTTTTTACATATTGAATCCCAATCTTTCGTAACCCCCGTATTGCCTTTCAGTGATGGAAAAAAAATGCACGAAAAACTGTTGAATTATAGCGGCAAAGATACTGATACAAAACAAATGATGTATCGGTAGTTGTTATAAAATAATTCGGTTATATATTTCTACAATAAAAAAAACTTGACTTAATGATTTGGAGCGGTTGGCGAAAATTTTCACAACAGCGATCATAACATAGTCCTCTGTACCCTTCCGATTCTTGCCATGTGCAACAAATTAAAGACATAAAATACTCTTTTTTAATATAGAGACTATACAAACGCTGATTGGGAAAATTTTCGATAACCTCTTAGAAACATTAGAAATATCCAATACCACCACTAAATCTGCACTAGACACTACTATACCCTCTAAAACTGCTTTCAGAGCAATTACTCCCGATATAAACCAAAAGCCTAGGTCTACACTGAGAAAACTGAAAAGGACGTAGTATATATCAAAAGACTTCAGTGCCCTACACCAGATATACTCTGTAGTTCACGAAGTACAAAGTCAACACAACAAGTATTAACAGGCAGAGAAACGGACTGCGCTTACTGCTACATCTAAAGCCCAAAGCTTATGGCGTCTCCTCGCAAAACGTATAAGAAAGAATGCAGATCACAACATTCACTGCTTACTGCACGATAAAGTGACGTATAATGACCAAACCGTCATATGTGAACTATTAAGTGAATGGTTTTCCCACAATGGGATTGCATCTCATGCCATAGATATCAACATAAAGTGCGTCAGCAAAAATTATCTTAGTACCATAAACTTTGACATTAGGAGCATACATACCGCTATTAAAACCCTTAAGCCAAATGGCAGTTCTGGTGCTGATGATATCCCTTCAGTTCTTTATAAAATGTCAGGACCAGACATACAGACACTACTACTCAAAACATACACATTATCTTTAAAGACAGGTACATATCCGGTAACCTGGAAGGTAACGCATGTTCTTCCCAAACACAGATCCGGACCGAGAAACCTGGTCGAAAACTACAGATCCATAAATATCATTGAAGTCATATCACGAATAATGGAAAAAGTGATACAAAATCAACTATCTGTTCACCTACTCAAGGAAGATCTAATAGACCCGTCACAACACGGCTTCATTAGAACAAGGCCGTGCAGTACATGTCTGATAGACTTCTTTAACGAGGTTACTCGCATACGTGACCAGAAGAAACTAGTTGTTATATTATATTTCGATATTAAGAAAGCCTTTGATAAAGTACCTCATAATCTTCTAATCAACAGACTTAAGTCAGTTGGACTTATAAACACCTTTTGCAATGGATCAAGTCTTTTCTTACGAACAGATAGCAAATAACCAAGATCAACTCTACAACATCTACACCTCGACCAATAACCAGTGGTGTTGTGCAGGGTAGTATCTTAGGTCAATTGCTCTTTATAATCTACATCAAAAATCTATGCAAGTGCTTTAGTACAGGTAGGACCTACCTCTATGTCGATGACTTGAAAGTCAACCATAAAACTGACATTTGCTTTGTACGTAATACTATGCAAACAGTTCAACCTGAACTCTACATGATAGATGACTGGTGCAAACGCTGGAGATTAGAGCTCAACACAGAAAAGTACGGCTGGTTATGTATAGGAGACACGTCTCTCAAAATAAAACCAACATTTAGCAATCACACACCTCCCAGACCGGCATCAGTAACTGACCTAGGGTGCATTACTAATACAGTCTTAATTTCTTTGAACACATCTCAGCCAAAGCATCTAAGATGCGGAAATTGCTCGGCTTTATTCTCCGTAATTTCAATCACAGAGAATCTAAAATCCTTTTTTATAAAGTTTGTGTAAGACCTATCGTTGAATACTGCTCGTTCTGATCTTCCAACTTATGCCTACCTGATATAGTAAACGTGGAAGGAATACAACGAGACTTCACCAGCAAAATACTTAGGACTGACTCAGTCACTGACTACAGTTCCCGATGCCAAATCTTAGGAATAGCACCCATTTGGGAGAGAAGGCTTAGGTCTAATGTGGTTCTCTACTTCAAACTACTCAAAAACCTTACTTATTCAACATGTAAGATAGTTCTTGCCCGAGATTCACATGAATACGAACTTCGAAACAAAGTATCTACGGTCAAGGTTGAGAAATACAGATCGAAAACTCAGGAAAACTTCTTCCTCACCAAGTATGCAATAATATGGAACGGTCTTCCCTCCGTAACTCGCATGGCGGATGAACTACATACGTTTGTTAAACTGCTTGATCAAGCCCTCACTCGCACTGATCTTGCACGTACGAACACATCCGCATCTCACTCAGACATCATAAGCTCTCTCCATGCCTAGACCAAAATGGACTGCGAGTTCAGTTTGCCTTATTTTTCGTTTTTTGCAGTTGTACTAGTTACTTTTTCCACCCTAATTTTTCACTTGAAGTAGACAGGTAACTCACTGAACCTATCGATACTGTTCAACTAAACTCGGTCGCTAAGGGTTACTCACTACCACCCTAAAAAGCCAATTGGACCGCACAATCGACTGCCTACTACTACCATTGGTTTTGCATCTATGGAGCCTGTTACCCATCAACTGGTTATGACAACACAAAATAACATCAGCACCAAGTTAGTGTGAGTTCCTTCCTGTTTATTCTTTATTAGTTTTTTACTCTTCTGTACACTATGTTGACTAGCAATCAACATTATTTCTCCGCTCGTTACCTTATCTACAACTCATATACTTTTATACCTTTCCACCTGGTTCAATAAACAACTACCCTATATTATATTCTTCTTAATGCCTATACTCTGATTGGCAAACTATACTTTATACTATAGTCAACAGAAGCACTGCATCGATGCCTTACCCACAGTCCATAACTTGTAACTGCCTGATAAGCTTGCAAAATGGTACTTATAGAAATAGTTTCTATGTTGTGAAACACAAAGGATTGTGTGATATATGATATATATCCAAAAATAAGCTTAAATGAGCCTAACATCATAAAAGGAGGGAGGGTGGATTTACTGACCAGCAAGCATTGATAATGAGGGCGATAACTTCAATGCACTCATGTTTGTGGGGGCAGAACATTTTGTATAAATCAGGCTCTTTATGATTGAGAATAAGTCAATCAATCTGTGATATAGATTGTTTCCCTACGTTCACCACTCAGACTCACGTTTCCAATATTATGTTGGATTGGCTATTCTACTAAGACAACTTATAACATGCTAACTCGGACATTTACACTAGGATTGTGTGGTTGGCATCGGATGAACAAAAAAAGGAAAAAAATTAGAAAACAAAAGATATATTCATTAGTATTCTTAACACTTCACCCTCTATATACACACCCTTCTAATAAACCGCTTTCCTTGTACCAGCCTTGACTTCCTTTTCTTCATGTGAGCTTACTCCAACTTGTCAAACGACACAACTCATTGTTCTTTATTACTACATTCTCTAATATGGAGCTTCTGACTTCATTTCACTCTAACAAGAGATAATATGAATTTATTCTAATTTATTATACCTCTGTCTGTTCTACTACCCAATGTTAAGCAACGTTTGGCGTTCATATCCAAATGCCTTGCTGATCTTCTGTTTCTCTTTTTTCTTTCTTCAGAATCTTGCTCCGAGGGCACAGCTATGCAACTTCCAACGTCTGGAACAAACTTGACGTACGCGTCTCCTCAAAGTCATGGTTTACAACAAGCGCTCTACGAGTCTCCTTTATAACAACTATAAACTTAATAAGTTGGGCAGCATGCTGCGCACCAACAAATGTTGTAATTTGTGGATCATGCCCGTAAAAATGGCGTTTACCTGCACATGCAGAAATATATTATTAATAATATGAGCATTTATGAATAAAGTAATGACAATATGAGACATAAGGGCGAAATGCAGTGCTACTGCCAATAATACTAATTCAGGCCAAGGTAACAATAGCGATTGAACATACTTCGTTAGTACGCATAGTTCTGGCTTGAATTCATGGATGGTTTGAGATTCGTCTATTTTTAGGAGTTGAATACGAAGAAATCTATGTTGGTTTGAACGAAACATATTTACAACGTTAAAAATCAAATTGTGGATCCGTAGAATGATTTCAATCGATTAGATGTTCAATCACAGAACTCTTAATTGCTTTCCCCTCACCCTTGTACGACCAAACTGGGACGTGTCCACGTATCGGAATTGAAAGTGATCTCTGGCTACAGCCAATGTACTTTGTTCCACAAGAGCAGGTGAACTGGTAAATGCACGTGAAAGTGAACACCGGGGAAGCTTATCTTTTATGGATA